AAGCTACTTAACAGTAAATACTTTATATCTTATGAACTTTTGGCAAGGATGGTAATAAGTAACTTGCTATTTAAAATCTCCAAGGAAATTTATGGTATATACATTCTCAACACAGTTACAACATATTTGACAGAATTTAATGGAAACAATATTAGGCATATTTCAAATCATAGAATTCAGATTATCTACAGAAAATGTTGCTTATGTTTGTGGTATGTTCAGATCTGCTATGTCTCTTGACTGAATATTGAGAATGTGAAGAAGGAGCAATTTTTTTAACTCAAAATTAAAATGAAAGTTAAAGAGTATTTTTATATTAAAGAATACTATGGTTAATGTATATTTTTTTAAAACAGAAAAATAGAAAATACGTAAATAAATGTCTGCCTTGATTCTAACTAGAGAACTCTTTTGCCTTCTATACTTTTCTTGGATTCAGTAAAAAGAACGGTCATGTTAGCACAGATTTTATTGGTACTGAACTGCATTTTCTCAAAAATAAAATTTTCTTTCTTTTTTTTTTTTAAAGATGGGGTTTCTCCATGTTGGTCAGGCTGGTCTTGAACTCCCGACCTCAGGTGATCCGCTCGCCTTATTTTCTTAGTAAATTCAGTTTTATATATGTATTTAGTTCTAACAAAAAGAATCACAGTATTGTTTTATGAAAAAGTAAACACAGATGATATTTATTTTAGGATACTCACTAAAGTAATAAATAGCCTGGTCTAGTCTAGTTCAGAATAGTTCAGTAAACCTTTATTTTTTCCAAAACTCAACTGTATCGGGTCAGGACTAAGTCATATCTGTATTTGCCTTCTCTAAAATTTCTTCTGTTGTGAGCAATACAATAGAAATATTATTATTATTATTATTTTTGAGATGGAGTCTCACTCTGTCGCCCAGACTGGAGTGCAGTGGTGCAGTCTCGGGTCACTGCAACCTCCACCTCCCTGGTTCAAGCAATTCCCCTGCCTCAGCCTCTCCAATAGTTGGGATTACAGGTGCACACCACTACGCCTGGATGATATTTTTATATTTTAGTAGAGATGGGGTTTCACCATGTTGGCCAGACTGAGTCTCAAACTCTTGACCTCAGGCAAATCATCCATCCACCTAAGCCTCCCAAAGTGCTGGGATTACGGGCGTGAACCACTGTGCCCAGCGAGAAATATCACGTTTTAGGGTCTTAATGAGTAATTGTCTCAGGAGAGTGGCATATTTGCAGAAAATATTTAGATTATTAGCACATGTAAGTGCAAAATTAGTATATTACAGATTATAAGTAAAAGCTGGAAAGGTGTTTTCAAAAAATTATTTGTTTTGCAAATGCTATGACTAGTGTTTTGAATCTAGTAGATGGAAATAGATGGAAATGTCTAATAAGATATCATAATAGAGGCATTATTTGTTGGTTATGTACTTTGTGGTAGGAACTAGGTCATACACTTTACAGATACTATTTCAATGACTTCTTCCAACAAGGCTATGAGGTTTTGTTTGTTTGTTTGTTTTTTGAGACATAGTCTCTCTCTGTTGCTCAGGCTAGAGTGCAGCGGCATGATTGCCTATGAGGTATTATTATCCTCATTTGACAGATAAAGAAACTGAGGTTGAGTGGTTAAGAGTATTGGTCAAGTTACAAAGAAAGCTAATAATATTGTCTGATTTCAAAGATTGATTATGACAGTGACTGTTTCATAGTACTTATGTTCATGAATGGCTTCCAGAAATTGTTTAGGTAGTATTCATACTGAAATAGTAAATCAATCTACCATTCTATTGGCCTTAAAATCATTTTTCTTTGCATCTGAAATTACCATTGTAAAGTTTTCAGGGAAGATAGAATCCACATATTTTCAGCCTTTGTTTTGGCAGAAAAAAATAGGAGTTGAAAATTTGAAATTTGTTCAAAGTGCAAATATGCTGTGGCATTTTGGCATTGTTCCAAGGGCACAGATTTAACTTGGAATTTTGGTGGCTGTTACTAGGAATGTACTGTTTATCAAATTCAGTGTTAACTGCACAGTTGAAGATTTTCTAGCAAAACTTTCTCTTTTTAACACTAAAAAAAATTCTTTCACCAAATTCTAAGGATTGATAAGTAAAATCCTTAAGGAGCTGTGGTCTTTAATGAACAAATCTTCTGTTAAAAAGTAATCACTCAGGTCATTCCACAGAGGTTTTGCATAATCAGGATTTGGATGATCTTGGGCTCTCTGCTAAAAGCTCACGGCCTTACATCTTAATGGAAATAAGAGAGGATGAAGTTTATAGCCCTTCACTTATGTAATGAGTGAAATAACCAGCCAGCAAACACCTGTTGGATGATAGTAGGTGCTCCGGAGAGTATGACAGGTGATGATTTAATCAGATGCATTGGTAATTCTATGACCTGAAAGGGATATTGTATTTCCAAAGCCCAGAATTTTCTTTATTCTAGATAATGCTGTGTCCCTGTGTACAAAATGACTTAAAACAAAACATTAGAATGTAGAATATATTTTAGCATAAAATTTTTCCGACTTAGTCTTCATTGCTTTAAGGAATTTATCCCTCCTTTGTGCTTCTAAATTGTTAATTCATCATATTAAGCATTATTTCCTCTCATACACTAGAACAAATATCTGATTAAGAGGTTATTGGCATTAGGAATCACAGTTCTCCTAGCCAAGCACACAGCAGAATTCAAAGCTTGTTCATTTAATGAATTGTTGTTTAGTGAAAGTACATGATTGTGTTCTCATAGGGCACTTTGTTTCCTTTATTACTCAACAGAAGACAAAAAAGACCCCACAAATTTTCAAGGGCAATGTATTGCCCTTTTAGCTTATTATAGAACATACATAGAAAGAGGTGCATTTGTTTCTCACAAGGTGGATGAGGCATAATTCCAATTCATTTTATGTTCTTGGGCCAAGGTCCTGAAGAATCTGATTCTCACCTTTTATTTGACTGCATGACTGATTTTCTTTTCTTTACAGGTTAGTGCTGCCTATACCTTCATTCAGCAATTTTTTTCTCTTTTACCTGTATTTTTGGGATTTTACTCCCCCTGCTGGCCTCTGGCACGCATTAGAGTTGACTCTTTTCCAAAAACTCATGTTTCTGTCTGTTTCTCTTCAAGGAGCCTCATGTTTAGTACATTTATGTTCCAAACACAGCAACAACACGAGTTTAAAGGTAGATATTTTGAGTTTTCAGGAATTCATTTTTCTCATTTTTTTTCTAAAGCGACTAAAGTAGACCAATGCTAATTTAGAAAATATAGAAACAACATTCTGAATTTTTGAATGCTAAATGTAATTGGTTTAATTACAAATCATTTTGCTAAAGAAAAGTTATGTTATGGCCCATAATGAAGAAAGTTTCTTTCTCCTTCCTAGGATAGCAGTAATTGTGCTACAAAAACTCAAAATGTTTCTGTTTTTAAAATGTCTTATGAATTATAAAAACTTTGAAATTGATAGCTTGATGTTTCATATAAATTGAACTAGATTTCAAAGTACGGTTAACTTGACAATGCTTTGAAACAAGGGTCACTCTATTACGTCTCTATGACTATTTTTTATGAGAGAATTTGGATAATTCAACTCTCAAAAATTGTCACATGCTATTTTAGCCTTTGTAGTTTTGCTTTTGCTAGATGCCACAATCTCTATTAACACAACTTGTATTTTTTCCTTTTATTTATGTTGAACTAAAAGATGTATGTGAATATTTTCTGAGAATCATTTGCTTTAGGTTGAAGAGAAGAGTTGCAGTTTTTACATTGTTCTTTTGTTGTTATTAAAAGAAAAAAAAGCACCTGACTAGGAAATAGTATTTTTAGTAAATATACTCTCAGAATCTTCTTCTTCCTATCTGAAAATCTTTAAGATGTTTTTGCTTTTTAATAAGATAATGGTCAATTGAATTGAAAGATACCTTTTCCTCCTACAATTATAATAGACACTGATGGTTTATTGATGCTTTCACCGAAATCTCATAACAACAGGTGAAAATTTCCCATTGTTTGGTTGGGAGCCAGAGGCTGAGAGTGCAGGTCATTTTTCTTTGTCTGAGGAGAGTGGAATAGCCAATCCACCACTTTGTTTTCTAGGTCTAAAATGTTATGTCCAGCCTTTCTTAATTCATGGGTGTGGCATTCATGGGAGAGTCTGATGGCACAAAGGAAATATGATATCTATGCATCAGTTTCTTTATATTGTACCATGGGATCGGAGTTTAAAAAACTGTTCTTGTTTTCTGCATCATACCAAATGAATATTTCACAGTACCTCTTTTTATAACACAAAACTTTGTGAAAAATAAAATTCACCATATTAGTGTAAGATTTTCCAATCCTAGTTACCAGCACTGCAAAGTACCCACCACTCAACAATTGCCAGAATATGCAGCTATGTGTATTTTTAAAGTATATTATAAATTTTCCCTCTCTTAGCAGAAAGTAAAGGAAAATGAGCACTTCATTAGCAACACGCTTAGTTGTGCGGCCAAGAAATAAAACATAAAGTTTCTAGATACTCTGAGAACTCCATCATGACTTCCTGGGGAGGCTTAAGAGAGGATTTTTTTCATAATGAGTCTATGCAGAAATTTTTAATATTAGAACATCCTTACTTAGATATTTTCTTGGATTTCTACCACTATTGGGAAAACAAAACTAAGAACTACAGCAGCTCGCATGTAAGTTGTGTTTATTCCTATTCAGTTAAAATGAAAGAAGGGATATTAGACCAAGTTGATATATTGCAACATTATTTATTTATTTTTGTTTTTGAATATTTATTTATTTATTTATTGAGATGGAGTCTTACTCTGGCGTGGAGTACAGTGGCATGATCTTGGCTCACTGCAACCTCCACCTCCTGGATTCAAGCAGTTCTCCTGCCTGAGCCTCCAGAGTAGGTGGCAGTATAGGCGCCTGACACCACGCCCAGCTAATTTCTGTATTTTTAGTAGAGATGGGGTTTCACCATATTGGCCAGGCTGGTCTCGAACTCCTGACCTTGGGATCCACCCACCGCCGCTTCCCAAAGTGCTGGGATAACAGGCGTGAGCCACTGTGCCCAGACCGTAATGTGTTTTTAATTGTATTTCAGTGCCCTCTGTTTTTGCACAGTGGGATGATAAGTATTGAGTTTTGAAATAGGTAAAGAGTTGAAAGGGTCATAGATTCTTCTTCTTTTTTTTTTTTTTAAGAGAAGTAGGTAGCAAATTTTTGAGTTGAGGGATCATGCAGTAACTAGCAACTGTTTCTCAAAATTGCCTCATCAGAAGAATCTCTTGGATTGCTAGTTTAAAATATCAATTTCTAGGCTGCTCCAAGAAAGATTCTGGGTCCTGCAGTTGGACATGAAAAACATAAGCCCCAGATGATTCTTATGATCAGGAGAGTTTGGGAAACATTTATCTGATTTAATTAATTGTAGAGGCAATGCCAGTGATTAAGAGATGAGATTTGGAGTAAAGATTCATTAGGAAACACTTACCTATAAATACTTAATTGAGCATTTATACTGTGGACCAGATTTGAGCACGATTACTACATATGTGATTTTTGAACTTGTCTTTTACCCTCTCTGAATCTCAGTCTCTCTCATTTAAAATATGACCTTAATACCTTACTCATAGATTTTTGGGAAGGTTCAATTAGATATGCCCCAATACGCCCCAAGAAATGTTTAATTTTTCTAAGCCATACCACTGTTTTTTGTCATCTATTATACTGTAGGGGTCATAATTTAATTATTTCTATTAGATTTTTGTACTGTATACCAAGATCTCATTATGCAGTCACAGATCCGTTGTTCTGAGTTATGGTTCTTACTGGCTTTCGAGATGTATTTAGGGGTAAAGAATCCTTTACCAACTTTTAGAAAAGTCTTCTAACACAAACTTTCTCCCTCTTACTTCACTTTACCCTTTTTAAAATTTGTGTGTTTCTTACCTAAACTCACATATTTCAGCTTCTTGCAACACTTTTAAAATTACAGCTACTACTTTTTAAGAACTTACTGTAATCTAGGCACAGTCCTGGATACTGCTTATATTATTTAATCTTCACAACAGTACTGCAGTTTAGGTATTATGATTATTTAAGTGGAGCCTGAGAACACAGAACTCAGTAATTCAGACAGTGTCTTATAGGAAGAACAGAAATTATTTTAATCCATGTATATCTTTCTTCAAGCCCAAGTTCTGTCCACTGTAAGCTATTGCCATAATTTTAATACAGTCACTTCCCCAAGATCAGAGCATATATTTTTCCCATTGGCTTCCCAGTGGTTTCATCTCACTCAAAGTAAAATTGAAAGTCCTTACTAAGGTCCACAAAGCACTGTACCCTAAGTCTTTGATGTTTTAGGACCTTTGCATTTTTTGGTCCCTGTGCTTGAAACTGTTTTGCCTTAGGTAAGCTGTGCAACTCTCCCTGACCTCATTAGATCTGCCTTTCCAGATGACCTATCATACTTGAGAGCATCTACACACACACACACACACACACACACACACACACGCACGCACTCACACACGGAGGGAGGGAGGGAGGAAGAGAGGGAGGAAGGGAGGGAGGGAGGGAGAGACTGCGATTGCCACTCCTTGCTGGCTTATTGTTTCTCTGTAGCAGTGATAAACAGTTAACATCTTACATCGTTTTCTTTTTTTTTCTTTCTCCCAGTATAATGTTAGTCCCTGGGAACAGTAACTTTATGTTATCTGCTGTATCCTCACTGCCTACCACATAACAGGAACTCAGTAAATATGTGAATATTGAACATTGGAGGACATATCTGATGTTCCTTGTATTAGTAATTTTATAATTTTCACAGCATTAGAACTTCATATGTGATGTCTTGGTGGTTACCCTAATAACATCTTTGTTAAGCATACTTTTCTAAACAAAGTTCCTGACCAAAAAATATGTGGTGGTGTGTTTTACTTTTTGTGCCAACAGGAATAGCGCTATGCAGAAAAAATATATCTTTCTGTATAGAATATTTAGAATAAAGGGTTTTTGGAAAGATCCCTTACTTGGGTAATGAAGTGGCTATTCAGTATTAATACTTAGTATATTTCACTTGTTCTTTGCTTTGGAAATGAGGGCATTAGAACATATGTGAGAATTAGATATTACTTTAGTATTTAGGAGGCCCTCTACTCGCTGAAGAATACTTCTTCTGTGCCAATTCTGGTCATCATTCATTATTATTACTAGTAGTATATACTCATGGTAATGCAAATTCAGTAGGTTTTCGAGGTGTTTTTTCCCTCCAGTTATTATCTTTTATTCTGAAGTTCGCCTTTATATCAAGTTATAAAGGTGAACTTTATAACTTGTATTTGTGGGTGTCTAGAATTATTGTACATGTATATAACTCAGTGATTCAAAAGTAATTAGCCATCTTGTACTTTTTATTAAAAAATTCAAGTTCTGGAAACATCATTTCATTGACTCTCAAGTAATGTTAATGCCAAGCTTTGAAATGCAATTTATCTTTTTTGAGACAGTAATTTTGAGTAATTGAATTCCATGAAAAAAAATGAATTCAGGAGCTAATTGTGCATCAGGTTTACTGGCATTTGTGCAAAACAACATTTAGCAACTATCAGTGGCAATACTCATCTAATTTCACTTTATCACTAGCTGGTCAATCATGTATCTTCATCAATACAGGCATTTGAATTTCCTCTTTCAGGTATCTTTCTTTGTGTGTTTCCTTCCTTCTCACTCTCCCTTCTCTCCTTATTTTAAGCTACTTTAGAAAATAGTAATACTTTAGTGATGTGTAAGATGCAAATCACTTTGGAAGTGAGAAGGTGGGTATTTATACATATGTTCTATGACGAGGTTTCTAAGTCTGTCCCACTGGGAATGGTTAGTACATTCCATATCTGTAAGGGGAAAAATCCATGTTTCCCAGAAATACAGGTCAAGACACACGGAACAACTCTTTTATTATTTGCTTTCAAAACAGAGAGGATGTGATTTATGTTGAATATAAGCTTATGTCATAGCTGTGCAGGTGCTGCCATGAAGCTGTGACCCCCATCTAATCCCCATAACGACACTGGGCATTGACCACATTTGCTTTGTAGTTACTGAGCTGCTTTCCCAGGGGCCTTCTAGTTTCTGAACCCAGCTGCTGGATAGCTGGTCGACCCATGCTTGGTGCAAGAACATTGTTTTGTAAGTGCAACCTGAAATACATTTTATAGTTGCTGCCTGAGTCAAATGACTGTAGGTTTGTGATGAAGCCTCTGTGATTGAATCAGTCTCCTCTTACCACCTTTTTTTCTTCATGAATTTTTTAGTCAGCTGTAAAGATTTTTTTCTGCTTCATTTTCTATTGTAATAAACATAATCACAATTATTTATTTTAAAAACACTAAACAGTTGCTTGGTATTTATAAGATTAAATGTAATTTTTGATACTGACTTTAATAAATCATGGCCTGATCTGGTTATGTAATTTTTATTTATTACTGCAAGATAGTTAATGTTTTTCCATGTTGGTTCAGTATTTTTCCCTCTAAAGATTAGTGAGTTGGTAAATATTTGCAATAATCACACAAAACACTTGAGTTCCAATTTCCTTCTGTCTTCCAGCATTTTGATCTACCAGAGTTTTAATATTTTTCAAGTTTTCTATGTGCTATGGATTGTAAAAAAAAAAAAAAAAAAAAAAAACCCAGAACAAAAAAAGACAACTATATTAAAAGTGTTAACTTTATTTTAAATCTTATTAATGCTTTTTATATTGGGAGGGAGGATCTGTATATTTAAATTACCATTTACGATAAAGCAAAGAAGTTAAGAACCAGGAGACTAAAGCTGAACTGTTTGAAGTTGAATCTCAGCTCTCTCACGTCCCAGCTCTATGATTTTGTTAACCTCTCAAAATCTGTCTCGTGTAAAAAAGGTGAATTATAAAGTATCTGTTGCATAGCTATTGTGATTATTAAATAATATTTGCAAAGCTCTCCATAAATATTTGCTGTATAGATAATGTTTAATTTTCTCAAGAAGTTTTCAGAACCATGTTTTGAGTCATTCATATAGGCGCACACGTTATTACAGTTTTATCAAGAAATTATTAGCCTTGTCTTACATCTCAAAAATTTTCAACTGAGGATAAATATGTGGAAAGTTACAATATACAAGATTGTCCACTATATGAAGTGGTGTGTGGAACAGAACACAACTAGATCACATAACTATGAAGAACAAAACCTCAAGAAGAAAAAAATTCAAACTGAGTTTAAATTTTTCTCACAATAGCTGTGGGCACTCTTCAAGCTTCAGTTAAGTGATGACAACATAATTAGACAGTAAAATATTCTGTTTCTGAACTGTTCTTTGGTTTCCTTAGGCTATCTGTTTAGTCTTATTTTTCTGAAAAATGTACATGAATAAATAGACCCTCCAACCAAAAATATTAATATTTAACATTTAGCCAAAGAGGTAGAAAATATTATTTGCAAACAGAACAAAACAAAATGAGATAAGAGAAGAGCTGAGACAGTGTAATATTCCACTTAGAGGAAAACAGTAGGTTGCCACTGATTTTTAGGCCTATATTTTGAAATCTATTTGAGATGGAATGACTAAATTTGCAGTGAAGATTATTGCAGCACAGTTACTTGGTCCACATATCATTAATTGATTAAAAGTACTTGCCAGGGAGTCACCTCTGGAGGGCAGTGCAGTCTTATATTTGTTGCAGGAGCTTCAGGTACCTTTACATTTTCCAGAAGTTCATTTCAAAGATTCTTGGCCTTGTGAGATGTGAGTCATTCTCCATTTTAAATACTCAAAGGGGACGTAAAGGTGAAAGAAAAATCTTTCTCATTATGATGGTTAGCATGCTAGATTCAGGGAAATTGATGGGAAGTAGGACTTTGTGAATCTCAGTGTGCAAATAAGGAGTTGGCTGATGTTTGTCTTTTTTCCCCTTTTCCTCCTCTTTGGTTCAGATACTTGTGAACTTCAATTTCATTTTCCTTGTTTTTGTCTCTGTCTTACTCTAAAATACAAATCTGTATCTTCTAAGAAAATCTTTTGACAACCTCACTCTATAGGGTGTTGCAGAAGGTCAGCCTGGCAGCCAGCAAAATATCTTCCAGTACCTTAACAAATCAGCAAAATATTTGGAGAAATGCTTTACTTTTATGAACAAATACCCTGATAGTTATTGGATTTGTCATAGCATCTAAGGTTTCTCTCATAACCATGCTGACCTTCATGTGCTATTATATTACAAAACCAACTCTTTATGTAATCAAACCTAAGGAAGAATGCTTAATTAGCTATACATGACCCTTTGTTATAATACAGGCATACAAAAGTTATTTTCTTCAGCACTATCTAACTATTGTACAAAGAAACTTCTTTATAAAGTAAAACATGGAATATTTGATGTCTCAGGAGTAAAGTAATATTGGGATTTTTTTTTCCTCTGCAAGCTGTTTGAGAGCTTTCAGCAAGAGGATACTGTATTTAAAGGTAGCCTAAGATCTCATAACTCCATGTGTCACAAAAGTGTGTAGGTTATGAAAGACTTTTCTCGTGAGCAAACCAACTGTGCTTTTTAGCTCTAAATCATGACATAGTCTTGTTATACCACAAAGAATTAAAGAATGTTAAGTAAATGACTTTCTTCCCTCCCTCTGTGCCTCTGAGGATAGTTATTAATGCCGATTCTTGCTGCTGAGTGATCCTAAAGCTACTGTCACAACCTTTTTATTCCCAGAGTGCAAATGAATCCTTTATGAGGTAATTGAAGGAAATTGATGATATTATTTGCTGTATCTGGGGTATCAACAGCATATAAATGAAAAACACTGCAGAATGCCCACCCTGTGTTACCACATTGATCCACACTTTTGGATCTGAAAGATCTCCAGCTATTTTTTGCCTAACCAGACTTTGCACCTTTGTGTTTTATAGTGAAGTAGCAGGTACACAACTTTTTAAAATTATGAACTACTGGTATTAGATTACCACCACGTGGTGTAAGGGATAGGTTTTATAGAAACACAAAGAGCATCGACTTACTCTTCTCGTTTTGTTCTTCTTTGCTTATTTTAATGTTATCTTCTCAATCTGAACAGTGTGAGCTGTTTCACCTTTTATTTTGATTGTTAGTATATGCGCATTCTAAGCCAAGGACGACTTTACGCTTTAAGCTAAATCAAAACATTTGGTACTTAGCAAATTCTGGGTTTTGTGTTTTAAGATGGAAAAAAAGCACTAAAAAGAAAATTTAAAAGAAATTTTATCATCATTCAGAGTGTAGATGAATGATTCAAATAGGAAACCTATTTTAAATCAGCCCTACTGAATAAATTATACTAAAAGAACATTTATTTACCTAGTTAGGAAAAAAAGACATCTTAAATATGGTCTCTAGTTACCTTTCTTCTCATTTATTACATTTGCCACTTCATTGTGACCTTACTATGACCTTGTAGTTTATGGGCTAAAGGTAACCATTATGCAATAATGAAAATATTCAGGCTGAGCTTTACCACCTTGAAAAAATTGGTTTCTTATATTTTGTTTAAATTAACACACTTTACTGTTTAAAAAGCTCTGCTCTACAGTGCTTGAAAGAGGAGAGAAGCATTAATCGCAACTAATGTACAGATTTAGGCTTTTAGATACTGTGTTTAGTGGAGGTGACTCAGCAGGCCTTGTTATATTAATTATAGTGGTTTGATTCTCCACTGGTTTTGATTCACAAAGACATGCTGTTTCTAAGAATTAAAGTATCAGTTGCTTAGGGAAAAAAAAGGAACTTAAAAATCAAACCATTAATACCTATCTTTGCTTTCTTCTGTTTAATTTGTTTTATTTTAGTTATCCAGACCCAAGTTATTCCACTTTCCCTTTGCCTTGATCCCATAATCTGACCTCTGTGAAACAGGCAATTCATCAGTTGGATGTGGTGAGGGAAATGCCCTTCAGAAGGATGTAAAACAGGCAATACAAAAAGCTTTAAATGGTCAACGCATCATGGCATGTAAGCTCTGATGTGACTTGTTATCTCAGAGACCAGTGTTTGCATTCTTCCTGGTTTTGGTCCATAGGCTTGGAAGTGCACTGAAACCACAGCTGGTCTTAAAGAGCCATGGAGCATGTGATCCAAGGCATGATAAATTAATGATTACAAATCCTCAATCTGCTTATTGTCAGCCTTTTTTTCTACCACCAGTTACAAATCCAGTCTTTATTCTCAGATAGAAGTGATGATAATTTTCCTTGGTAAAATAACTTTCAGATAATACTGATTGCAGATAATCACCAAGGGCTCTGCTCGAAGTATACTTCTCACCATCTTTACACATGAAATAAAGACTCTTATTATCTCCACTTGTCCACAAGGAAACCAGTGTACAGAGAAATTAAGTACCCTTCTCAGGGTTATGCAGAAAATTCAAGAGCTGGGTTTTTACCACAAAGGATGATTTAGACCCTCTGGTCTTAACCTTCCAAGAATCTGTGCTCTTGAGAATCTTCATTTTCAACATAAGGTCTTTATACTACCTAAACTAACATGTTCTTCAGAGTTTCAAAATGGAGACTTAAAAAAAATTGATTAGTAAAGAAGTAAATAATTTAGGATTAAAAAAATCTGTTTAAATGGGTTTCTCATAATTAATGAAGGCAGATTTTTAAATCATGAATCTTTTATAGAACCTTGGGATATGAAAGCTTATTTTGAAATGGACTGTTGAACTGCATACTAAAAGTATACCCAGAGTGAATTTTCGGAGCCATTAGAGACAAATTTAACATCACTGTCAAATCTGTGGAAGGTTAAATATACAGAGTGTGAGACATTGAGAATTAGGCATTTACAGGTACTTTTCTCCAGAGTTTGGTTTGGTGAGGGATTTAACACCTCTTTCATGACATTGATCAAGGCAGGATACTTTGAAGGAAAAGTGATACAAAAAGGAGGAATTGCCTTGTCATGTTATGGAGCATTTAATTCTAAATTTCTCTATTTTAAAAATGGAAGAGGCATATGTATAGAGAAACAAAGACTTGTGGTTTCCAAGGGCTGGAGCAGGAATGGGTGGGTACTAGCCATAACTGACCAGAGGGATCTTGCTGTAGGTGATTGAAATGTTCCCAAACTGGATTATAGTGATAATTGCAGAGCCTGGCTTAAATGAACTTTAAAATCATTGAATTGTACCCTTTAAATGACCAAATGTATAGTATATAAATAAATATGCCATAGTAAAGTCATTTTTTAAAATGCATGTAAAAAACTAAAAAAGGAAGAAGATCCAGAATTGTGTCTTCAGACAGAGTCATTACTTGCATCAAATTCAGAATTTCCCATTTATGATATTAATTTATTTCTCGAATTTGAAGTATGACACTAAATGTAATATGTTAGGTCACATATTTGGCAAAGACAAATTCTTCCTGCCTTTACTTTTTCCTGTTTTTATTTAATAGATGGATTCATTATTCTTTGTAGCCTCTAGAGGGAAGCACATAGGTTTTTATTTGAAAGACAACAAACTTGTAACTCCCAAGCATCAGTAATTCCCAGTTGTTTCAGATGAACTCTCCAATTTTAGTTCATCCTGATGACCTCGCAGTGGAGGACCTTCCTGTAGTGACTCCTGTGAATGAATCCTCCCTTCTATCCTGTTAGCTGCTCCCTTTCACCCCTGGCTCTTTAATGCCCTTGAAAGATCTTTTGGCCCTCTCTACAGGGGGATGTAGGAGTAATTTCAGTCAAAACTTTCACAACCTTTTTTTCTTTAAAGAGCTTGATTTTCAGGAAAAGACAATAGTCAGTTAATGAATAAAACCGGTAGCATGTGGGGAAAGGTTGAAGCCCAGGAGATGGTCATAAGAATTCCTGACTCTTATAAGTTCATAAGACTGCATCTGAAGAATCAGGCTATGCCAAAAGATAAATGTATATAGAGTTCTTCTCAATGTGTGAATAATTAGGGATGCAGGACTTAAAATCTGTAAGAACTTTTACAGTTGTAAGACATAAACATCCCGGTGTGTTTTCTGATTGTTGTTCTTTTCATTTAATTATTTATTATTAGTCTTATGTGCTAGAGAAGCCAACAAATAAGGATCCAAAGGTAAATTAACTAACATTAAGGAATAAATCTAAAAGTCATTTTAAGAAATGCCTTACCTCTTCTTATCCCCACAATTAATGGCTTTTTCCCTATGATCACCGAATTAAAAAAACACTTTGAAATTTATACCATTCCTGGATTCTTTAGAATCTTATAGGATTTATAGGAGTTGATTTCAGTGTAGGAACCTGAAATGGTTTTAGGTCCCCCTTACTATGTCTTATTTTTACTTTGTTCCTGACATTCTTCCTATATAATTAATCTAATATTGATTGTGTAATAATCTAATATGTGAAAAAGAGTAGACAGCAATCAATCAATAGTAAGAGATAATGAGAAATGTCTGAGTAGACCTTTAACCAATGATTTAAAAAATTGTATTTGGGTGAACCTAGCAGTTAAATTGACTTGTTCCCTCCTTTCAGCTCTCCTTTCTCCCCTTTTTTCCCAATAAACTTTGATTGCTTGCTGATTGCGTGTTAGGCATTGTCTGGTTGTTTATTGAGAGAAAGAAAGAAAGGAGAGAATCAAAACACAATTTCTGCCCTTGTGGAATTATAACCAGTATAGGAGACAGACAAAACAGTATATAAACAAAAAATAACAATACATAATTAAAGATTTAAATCAATTCTAAGAAGAAAAAGGTCAGGAGGCATATATAACCCTTGAGGCCAACTTTAGGCTAGAGAGTTAGTAAAGAGTTTCTGAGGAGGTAACCTTAAGTGGTCCTACCACATAAAGGATTGGGCAAAGAGTTCTCCAGGCAGAGGAACAGAGTATGAGAAGGCCCTCAGTCAGGAAAGAGCATGGTTTGTTGCAGAAATTTCGCTAGTGTCTAAGTGTTTCACTGTAAATGAAGAACTAAACTGTGATGTGGTTTGGGGAGGTAACTGGCCAGGACTGAAAGGTCTTTGTGAGGAGTTTGGATTTGTTTCTAGGTTAAGCAATGGCTTCAGAGGGCAAAAGAAAAACAGTGACATTATCTGATTTTGCTTTCGATAAAACGATTCTGGTTTCTCTATGAAGATTGGATTGGAGAAGGGCTCATATGAATATGGCGGAAGTTTAAAAGGTGTAGCTGGGCATGATGGTGGCCACCTGTAATCCCATCTGCTCAGGAGACTGAAGCAGGAGAGTCACTTGAACATGGGAGGCAGAGGCTACAGTGAGCTGAGATGGCACTACTGCACTCCAACCTGGGCATCAGATAGAGACTCCATCTCAAAAACCAAACCAAACCAAAAACAACAACAACAAAAAGAAGAAGTTTAGAAGGTGGTTGTGATCTAGACAAAAGTGCTCTTGCAACTGAGTTTCATCTGCATTTGAGGAATGGCAAGTAATGTGTTGAGTCCACTGATGTTGGGAGCACAATCACTTATGTAGGGGGTAGAAGAAAAAGATTTTTTTTCCTATAAAGTTATAAATAGCTTTTTGCTTGTTAAATGTGGCTATGATGAGATAGTAATTAATGATTAGTGGGATATTTAAGAGTGATTTTGGAAACATTAATATCTTGTGATTTTTATTTTGTGCAAACTGGCATTGATTTTAAAACCTGAGGCAATCTAAGTATCTTTGAATGTGTGTTTCTCTCTCTGAGGGCCGGAATTTGGAAAACTTGCTGATGAAATATGGGAGCAGATGAGAACATGAAGAACTTGATCAGTACACTTACATATCCTTTAATATCAGTTTTAGGAACTTATCTTTTAATAAAATACATTGTACCACAGGTTATTCTCTCTATATATCATTTAGTGCTTGAGAACACAAACTAGGCATTACTAGAATTGACAGACATATATTTGATTCTTGGCTTTACTATTTATTAGCTATAGCTTTAGACACCTGTTCCCTCACTGATCTTTCTGAACTACTAACCACGTTAAAAGAATGTGATGAGGATTATGTGAAAAAATCTATGCAGGCCGGGCGCAGTGGTTCACGCCTGTAATCCCAGCACTTTGGGAGGCCGAGGCGGGTGGATCACGAGGTCAAGAGATCGAGACCATCCTGGTCAACACGGTGAAACCCCGTCTCTACTAAAACTACAAAAAATCAGCTGGACATGGTGGTGCGTGCCTGTAATCCCAGCTACTCAGGAGGCTGAGGCAGGAGAATTGCCTGAACCCAGGAGGCGGAGGTTGCGGTGAGCCGAGATCGCGCCATTGCACTCCAGCCTGGGTAACAAGAGTGAAACTCTGTCTCAAAAAAAAAAAAAAATCTATGCAAAATACCTTTCACATAGTCAGTAATATTCAGTAAATATCAGATTAGGTGATTTGCCCAAATAAACAGCTAATAAATGGTGGGACTATTATTTCAACCCAGAAGGTCTTATGCCAAAACCTACACTGTTTGTGATTGCCCAGTACTTCTTTCTTAAATTGCGGCAGTGAGGCCAGGCACATTATCTCATGCCTGTAATACTAGCCCTTTGGGAAGCTGAGGCAGGTGGCTCACATGAGGTCAGGAGTTCAATATTAACCTGGAACGACATGGCGAAACCTAGTCTCCACTAAAAATACAAAAAGTAGCCAGGCATGGTGGTGCATGCCTATAATCCCAGCTACTTGGGAGGCTGAGGCAGGAAAATCACTTGAACCTGGGAGGTGGAGATTGCAGTAAGCCGATATCATGCCACTGCACTCTAGCCTGGGCAATGGAGTGAGACTCTATCTAAAATAAAATAAAATAATAAATTGGGGCAGTGAAGGGACAGGGAAGGAAGGATATTTTTGCTGTTGTCCCAAACTATCCTCCTACTTCCCTTCTTCCACTAACTTGCGTTTCCTTAACTCTCATTAACATTTTCTAAAATTTAAGAATGAAACATTCAAAATTGCACAAAAGTAGAGCAAATAGTACAATGACTTTGTGTGTAGCTGTAGTTCTTAGCACTTGCTTTGTGTCTCCAGTGACCTACTAAGGTTACTATGGTGATTTTTTTTTTTTTTTTTTTTTTTAAGGTGGAGTCTTACTTTATTACCCAGGCTGATGTGCAGTGGCACACTCCCGGCTCACCTCAATCTCTACCTCCTGAGTTGAAGCGATTCTCCTGCCTCAGCCTCCCGAGTAGCTGGGACTATAGAAGCACATTACCACGCTCAGCTAATTTTTGTATTTTTGGTAGAGACAGGGTTTCACCATGTTGGCTAGGCTGTTCTCGAACTCCTGTGACCTCAGGTGATCCGCCCGCCTTGGCCTCCCAAAGTGCTGGGATTTCAGGTGTTAGCCACCGTGCCCGGCCACTTTGGTGATTTTCTAACCACACTAAAGAACATTTTCTTAACCCTCATTTTCCTCTGCAGTTGGGGCTCCTGCTGACACCACCTTCTCTGCCTTAGCATTGCCACAGGACATGGTCACTTTCCACCCTCAGATTCTCCTCCTCTCTCAACTCCTAGCTTCTTGCTCTACTGCTCTTCTTGTTCCAGGTTGTTTTCAGAAAGTCCCTATGCTTTCTTGGAGTCAACTGTAATTCTCATTAAGATATTAATCTCCAGTCCTAACCTGTTATCCTATGTATATTCCTACATTTTTAATTACTTTTAAACATTTCTGATCAAACTTCTATCTGTCATCAAGTGGACTTCCTTTGTGCCATCATTTTTCTCATTTACACAACTGAAATTTTCAAGTTTTTCCCCTGTTCTTTCATACTCCTAGACCCAATGTCCTTTGGTAATATTTTTTAGCATCTTCTCCTTATTTTATTTTTCTTTCTCTAGAAACATGCATCAACCTCATGACTTGTTATCTGTACTTAAGCTTTTCCCCTGAACATCTCTTTAGCCAAAAATTTCCAGAGGCTTATCCTTTGCTATGGAAAAAAAGAATTTAAGAATGATCGTTTCCTCCTCTATGTCTCTCTTCAATGCTTTTCCTCTCACTGTCACTTTAATAAATTCTTTTTATCTTTCAAGGTCCACTTTAATCTAATTTTTTTGAAGATTTCCAAATTCTTTCCTCAAAGGATAATGCATTCCTTTTATTTAGTTACTACAGCACTCTTGGTACCACTCCTTTCAAAATTATTATGTACTATGGTACTGACAATTTTTATGTATTTGTCTTCTTATACCAGTAAAAATGCTTACAACTAAGAGTTGGCATTATTTTTATACTTATTTATTCTTATTGTCTAGATCATTTCTTTATAAATAATGCTTGAATGACTGATTGACTTTTATACTAGACAAATAATGATCAGTGGGTAAATTAATTAGCAGTAAATTATATACCTGAAAATTATTTAAAGAAATGGCAGAATAATTATCCTTGTCTTGTGTCTGTTTTGTAACATGCCAAAGTTACAGGCAAATTTTCAGTTCATTAAGCTTCTTCCAGAATAGCCTAGTTCCAGAATGGAATGGTGTTTCTCCTCTTCTGAGAATTATAAGAAAGTGCTTTAGCTAGCAAATTTTTTTTCCTCCCAGGTGGCTGTCTGCGTACCTTCCAACTATTAACAATAGTGTATTTTATAGACTATACTAACATGTTGAAATTTGGAGAGATGTACTTCTTTCTCTCATCAAGCCTAGCAAGGAGTGAAACTGGGTTTTTTCTTCTCCTAAAATGTTAAATTCCAAAAATTACAGGTACTCATTAAAAATCTCAAACAATACCTAAGTAAGTGAAAATAAATGGTGATGAAACCCTCTTATCCACCCATACCTCTCTCCTGAAGTTACCTAGACCATTGTTTTCAATTCACTTCAAATATCTAATCTATTACATGTCGATTAATTTGGGTAGCATTCACTGCCTTCCCTACCCCTCCTTTACCACCACCCCCTTAAGAAGACCTGAAATAAATTTAATTATTTCAGTTTAAACATTCTTTTTTTGTATATTTGGTAAATAATTATATTCGGTTATATTACACCAGGGAAACCAAAAGAAATACTCATTTCTCTTACTTTAGAAACACTTTAACTGACTCAGTAGGCATAAAATTTTACAGAGGGTTAGATTTCTGTTGAATATATGCTTAATACTACTTCTGTTGAAGGAAAAGACCTTAACTTTAATTCATAGTGCAATGTTGTTGCAAATGTGTAATTTTCCAAATTGTCCATAGTCCACAAAACACTTTAATATAGTATTTCCTTTATTGCAAGGAGAAAGAGGGGAGGAAAAACATTTTGGCATAAAGCCAGCTTATTACTGATACACTCAGGAGACTCACCGTCAGTATATGATATGCTATTTTCCTCCAAGTCCTCCTTATTTTTTCCCTTCTTTACTTGCCAGCTCCCCACCCTTCTGGAATTTCTTGGTTCAAGGACAAGTGCTGACTCAGCATGGGCCACCTTCTTAGGCTAACTTACTGCTTTCCTTGCTCATAAGGAGTCACCAGAGGAGGGGCAAATGGAGCACCAGCACATTCTCCAATTCTCCTAGGAGTCATAGCTCTCCTCATGGATTATGAATTGTTTCTAGGATAACAGAATGAGCTGTTAGGCTCCAAATGATCTAACCTTTCATACTTGACTATGTGGACTTTCTGCATTTATCATATTCCAGTCCTCATTTTCCAAATTTCACTAACAGAATTACAGAGATTGTAGTATCCTGTTGTCACAGAATAGAACCCTGTGATGCTTATGTGTTGCAAACTTAATTTCTCTTTATATCTTGTGTTAGAGGAAACACATTTTTCTATTATCTGTGTAGAAGAACCTTGGTTTTTAACAAAAATATCACTCACAGTAACTTAAAAACACAAGTTACTTGGTAACTTAGATGATCCAGTCATTAAAATCATGATATAGATTCTAAATATTGGGAAATTTGGAGATTTATTATTCTTAATACATTATAAATAAATAAATAAATAGGTATATGGTATACAGCTATAACTAGCTTAGAATTAAGTGTAAAAGCAGTGATTTCTCTTAAAAATAATCAAAAATTGACCTTGGAATGATGCAATTTTTGTTTACTGAACCCTTATTCATGTTGTAGGAAATTTTATAGACAGACATTGTAAAAGAGTTAACGGATTGCTATTGAAACTTAATTTGATACCAACTTGCTGGTGATTTTAAATTTCATATCCTGACCCTTCATGCTACATTTATGTCTTAGCAATAATTATTCATGGGTCTCATATTTAAAGGTAGAAAATCTTTAATAGTAAATAGTTCTGGTTTATGTCTTCAAAGGTCAGAAGATATGCATTGTTATATCTAGTTTGTATATTTCTTCTGGTAAAAATCTATGCTTAACTGAATGTGTTGAATTTATGGTAAAACAGAAGAGATTTATCCCAGATTGATTCAAATACCTGGAGATACAAGTTTCAGACATGTGTCGATAAAGCTTATTAAAATAGTAAACTCACTAATAAGGATTTTGTGTTTTGGATTGATTAAAGAATGTTTATGTCAAGAAAAGCATATTTTGAAAGTAATTACAGCCATTAGTTATAATTAATTCTATTTATCTTTTTTAAGGAAGGCTAAGATTTAATAAGGTGGTTTTTTCTAAAGCCTGTAATCCATGGCTTTTATTTTTACCACAGTAGATTTTGATATAATTTCCTTCTTTACTTTTTCTTAATGTCAAATGAGGTATATATATCTTTTGTAACTTCCTGGTGTCTGATCTCAGATGCTTCTAAAGCCGATTGTGAGGATTAATGGGCAAGGATTCTATCTAGTAATTGTGGGTTTTAGAAGAAACATACTAATCCTAGAGAAAGAACCGGCGCACACATTTCTCCATTTTTGTAAAATTTGGCCTGGATTAGCAAAGAAAAAAATAAATTTTGGAGACTTCTGATTGTTCATTTTCTCAAGAAAAAAGGAACTGGTTATTATTATTATTTGCATTTGGTACTGCACTATGTAGATAAATCAGTGACATCTAAGTTAGACATGATTTTGAAGTTCTATTATTGATTCACTAAGAACCACTGAGTTTCTGCATCTGCTTCCTATTTACAAAATGGAGATGTTTTCTGTTTCTAATTTGGCCCTCAGAAGTGCAGTGTTATAAGGATTAATAAGAGAAAGCCAATAGACTGAACAGCGAGGAAGACATAAATAGAGACAAGTGGGAGATTACCAGGTGTCTCCTCTTTTTGTGCACGGTTAATCTTCAATCTACATTTTTTTATACAAAGGGCATCTCATTGTATTATTTGGTCCAATGACTTGCATTGAAAGGTTACTGAATGCCACAGAATTCATTTGGTTTTCTTCTTTTTCTTTTTTTCTAACTTTTCCTAAACATCTTCAGGTTCCAGAATATAATTCTGAATGGATGGGCTTTATCAGATTATTTTTTCAATAGCAATCCATTCACTCTTTTCCAATGTCTGTCTATAAAATTTCCCGCAGTAGTTCATAATTTTTTTTCAGGAGGCTTTCCCCCTTTTTTATCATATCTTTTGTCCACTTATTTTCAGGATGCAGAGTTGGCATCACTGACTTGCTCATGGCCTCTTGAACAACATCTGTGTGAGGCAGGATTGCTGAAGATCCGAGGCATTTGAGTTAAATTGCCTGGAGTTGAATCCCTGTTTCAATCTGGCTGTGCAGTGTTAGTGATGGTACCTCAATGTAACCATTTTTAAAATGAAAAATTTCTCATGGATTCCTGTGAGGATTAAGATAATCAATATAAGGTCTGCGGCACTGGCATATGATAAATGCTAAGTAATATTACTACTTGTTTCAAAATTAGAAATGAAAAACGTTTAGGCACAAGGAATTAAAAAAAGCAGTAAGGAGGCAGGAAAAAGGCAGTTAGAAAATGGTGAGAACTAGCATGGAATGTGTTTTGAAAGTTAAAAAGAAGAGACGGTCATTCAAAAATAGGGAATTATCTATACCTTTGCTACTCAGCGTGGCTCATGGACCAGCAGCATGGGCACCCTGGAAGCTTTCCAGAAATTCAGAATCTCAGGCCCACCCAAAGCCCCAGGAACCTAAATCTGCATTTTAACAAAGTCCCTAGGAGATTCGCTTTAAAGTTTGAGAAGGCCCGGCCTATGACCTAGGGTGCAGCAGAGTTGACAAATGAGATTAAGACTAAACAAGCCTTCTTTTTCCTGCTAGATTTTAGAGAAAACAGGGAGGAATGAATAGGTGGCAAATTAAAGAGAGGAAGCAGTATTGATAATTCTTTCAAGAAGCTAAGAAATTAAGCAGGTTTGAATAAATGTTAGATAATAAATTTCAAATGTGGCAGAATTGAAGGGAAATTTATTTTTATTAACAATAAAAAGTTGAGTCTGTGTGCAGGTGGATCTAAAGTGTTACATAGGGTAGAAAACTGAAAAGTAATGAATACATGAAGGCATGGATAACTAAGAGATGGGGCAAAGAATGTTTGAAAAACATTGACAGCTGGTAAGTTTCAGAAAAACACCTTCATAGACTAGTGCAGAGATGTAAAGAGTGAGGTCAATAAGAGAGAAGGTGTGTAATTAAGTGTCTTCCAGGCTGTTTGCTGAGAGTAAGTAGGGCAGGAATATTATTGGTAACTGGTGTTTTGATAGGTTTAGAACCACTTCGGTGAATGAGATAGAACTAGAGTTGTAAATAAAGTTTAGATCTGGCGTGAAATCTGATAGGAGCTGCATGAAATATTGTGTTCAGAAGGCTTCTGGGGCCAACATGATATAAACAGATAAGAGCTGTGTATGAATGAGCATTTCCTGGCATTGTTATTAGGGAGACATAGTAGTGTATGCTCTTCACATTCTCTATGTGTGGTGTAAAGGATCTCCTGGCATTGTATGAAATTATTGAGTAGAAATAAAGAACTGTAACATGAATGTGTGGTGAATCATTTTTACAGTATTATTTCTAGAGAGAAAGTGATCATGGGTGATGTTAACTTTGCAGAACTGCTGTAAGCAAGACTTATTCAGAAACTGACAAATCTTTTACAAAGTGACTCATGGAAGTGGAGTTTCTGTCACAAACAGGGTCAGTTATTACCTGGCAGTATTCTGTGAGCTTTAGAAGAAAATAATGGGCTGACATAGCATTAGAACTTTGGGAATAGAAGTTTCTGGTTAATGGCAGTTGGCCCAGGACACAATACCTAGAATTTGCACCAGTAGAATTTCTCTGCCTCAAAGTAACTGGAAACAATGCCAATCAAGACTTGTGCCTACTCTTCCATGATTTCTGGTCTTTCAGTCACACTTGGCAGAGAACCTTCTTGACTGACGAACTTTTATATGGATACACTATAAAAGAGCACAGCTGAAAGCCAAGGGGTGGGATGCATTAATTTCATAATCACTTTTTTCTCCTTATCCTTCAAAAAATTTGAGAATATATGACACTGACAGATGACATTTTTTTTGGCAATGCTGTTAGGTCTTTGCTACAAGGCAGTTTTCCATCTTCATAGTTGCAGAGTTATAACTTGGTTTCTAAAAGAAATCCTCATAGCTATTCACCTGGCTCATATTTCATTCTCAGCTTGAAATTCAAATGTATTGATTCTCATATTTTTATTTAAAGTGATACTTTTAGTTAGATTGTCACATCTTCTATATATTGTGTACTTTACTCAGTTTAATAAGAAAAAATCTGGAAAAAATGCTTTGGAGTAAGTATGCCTATGAAATCTCTTAAATTTGGCTAGTTTTATTAACATGCAACTCTTAATACGTAGCATTCACTACCTTTCTATATAACCAGTTTCTCAGCCTCTTCCAACTGTATGGGATTTTTTTCATTTTCTTTCAGAATATCCATCAGTATAATGCTTTTGTTTCTTTTTTACAAGTAATAGATGTTTATTTCAGAATAAAAAAAAGCTACAGATAAATAAATAGAAGAAATACAATCATATTTAATTCCGTCATTCCAAGAAAGCCATTATTAATTCCAGTGCATTCTAAGGGGTTGCAAACTCAGATACATAGAGGAGCCCAGCTGATATCATAAATGTACAAATCAAGCTGGATTGGGGCTATGGGACTAGTTGTCACAAGATTGTGGGCCTGGGATCACCTGTTCTTCCTATTTTTCAGGAAAAGAAGGGTATCAGATTTTCATATAACACATCTGATATTAAAATTTTAATGGCATAAAAACTGGTAAAGACTCTGTAGAAACCAAACAGAATAGGTATGCACACCTTTTGCTTGCTTTTTTTTGTGTATATAAACTATGAAGTTAGAAATTACAATGGTGTTTGCAATTTTTAATGTAAGGCTTTTTACAGATGTATATATAGCACGTGTTTTATGATAAAATGAATGCTTGTGAATCCACTACCCAGCTTTCAATACCTTCAGTGCTGTTTCATAGCAATCCAATCCTATGACAACTGCTACCCCTCTAACCCAACATTTGTTATTCTCATTCCCATTTGTTTTCTGTAAAAAGGTACTGGATCTGTATGTATTCCAAAAAAGTATTGAGTTTAGTTTGTTTGGAACCTTGTAAACATGGAATGATAAAATATACAGTCTTCTGCAACTTGCTTTTTTCAGTGAATATGATGTTTCTAAATTTATTCTAAGGTTACTATATATAGCTGGCATTTATTCTTTTGTAACTGTACTGTCATATTTCTTCCTTGAATAAATGACATTTGCTTATCTAGTTTCCTCTTGATAGGCATTTACATTGTTTTAGGTTTTGCTATTATGCCAATCGCTTTCTGAACATGCTTGTGCATGTTTTCTGGAACATATATGGCTTTTCTTCAGGGTGTATTGGAAGTAGAATTACTCAGCTGAGTCATAGGGTGGGCGCATATTCAACTGTATAAGATAATTCCAAGTTATTTTTGAAGATGTTTGGAACCAATGTATATGCCCATCAGCAGTATATGAAAGCTCCTAGTGTTTCTCATCTTTTCCAACACTTGTATATTCAGATTTTTTTCATTTTTGTCATTTGGAGAATGTTCATGTGATCATTTGCACTTTCCTGATTAGCATGAGGTTGAGTATCTTTTGATACTTATTGATTTGATACTTATTCAACATAGTGTTTCTATATATGGGAAATGCCTGCTTTGTCTACTTTCTTTTGGGCTGTTTCTATCTTTTATTTATTTATGGAAATTGTTGAAATAATTTGATACTAATCCTGTGTCAGTTTTATTTTGCCAGTATCTTTTTCCAGGTTGCATATAGTCTTTTCAATGGATTCAAACTTTTTTTTAACTTAACACTTAATACTTTTTAATGTCTTGTTTGAAAATTCTTTCCTATGAAAGGTCATAAAGATATCCTCCCATATTTTGTCCAAAGATTAATCTATCACTTTACCTTTTAATCCACCTGGGTATTTTCTGTGTTTGGTATAAGGTGGGGATCCAGTTTCATTTTTGTTTTCCATATGGTTAACCAAGTATCCCTGACTAACCGGTGATCGGCAGTGCCACTATTGCTGTATATCAAATTTCTTATATATCAAACAAGTGGTTTCTGTTTCTGAGCTCTACTTGGTTCTATTGCTCAGGGCTTCGCTTCTCATGTATACTCTGTTTATAGAGCAAAACATATAGTTTTGCTAAACTGTGCTTTATTTTCCGGAAAAAAAAAACCCAAGATTTAAATTAATTTTATGAAAAAAGGCTATCAGTTTATTTTATACCTTTTCTTTTATGTCCCCTTTATGCTGATTATAAGGATTAACCCTTTCCGCATCTGAGTATAATGATGATCCACTTGAGTAACATTGGAGAAGGAAGAACATGTCCAGGTCTCAGACACATGCTCAGGGAGGCAAAGCAGAATACAGAAATTCCCACCTAAGCAGTGGCCAAGGCAAAGAGAGAAATGCCTCTCTTTGGTGCCTCTAAGGAGGAACAGTGGTTGTAATTGATGAACTCACTATGTAGTCGACAGCGTTATGCTTGAATATATTGCTGATAAAAATCCTTATAAATATCTAGTGATTATAAATTAAACTTGTATTCCATTTGCTATTAGTTTAAAAATCTAATAAACCCATTTTTCAGCCCTTGAAAAATACATTACCTGGCCAAGCACTTCCATATTATTTATGAATGAGAGATTTAGGGTTTTCTTATATCTTTTTTTCCTTTTGCTGTACTTCAGGGTCTTATATATGTTTAAAATATAAGTACTTCCACATATCTCTACTTAAAAAAAATTTACTATATCCTTCTATTTGTCTCTATTTTTTTTTAATTAGAAATGAAATTCTGGATTGTTGTTAATGAATTATTTCAGTCTGTTCTGTCTCAGTGTAACAGCAGAATAGTGGAATTCTTATGGAAATATATTTCTACACTTAAAGAATTCTTTTAGTGACCTCAAATTCAAGAAAAAAAGTAATTAACTATATCATTATTTTCTATAGCAGTATTTAAAAGATTGTAATGATATGCTTACCGTGTTCTCTGAAAGTGAACTAAGAGAGCTGTAGTACAGAACTGGTATCTGTTTTTTGGTCCTCTTTTTCTTTTTATTCTTTTTTATCCCTTTTTCCTTCTCTTTTAAATATTTGCAAGTTAACTTCCTTACCTTGAAATCCTGGGAATATTTTATCTTGATCTTGATATCTGGTCTTTATTTAATGACCCTTTCAGTGGAATTTCTAATTCTAAACAAAATATATTTTCCCCAAATGCTGTGGACTTTGCGGTACAGGAGGCTGGCTGTACAGGAGGCTGATTAACTCAAGATACCTGCTGTTGTTATTCTAAATGCCATGAACAGTGTTTCAAGGTTCAGCAAGTCGTGAGAAGTGTTTCCAGGTCCTTCAAGGAGAGACTCAGAGGGATGATTGAGGAAGTATGTTGCTCACTGTGTTTGTCATTGCCATCATCCCAAAATGGGATTGTTTGCATCAGTATAACTGCTCTGAGGGGAAATAAAGTTTATAGAGAATCTTTAAATTATTCCTGTGTAGGAAAGATTTATAAGGTCAGCTTTCCCACCACCTGCCAATGCAATATTTTTTTGTGTGTGTAGGTTGAAAGCATATTCAAGAAGAGTTTTTTTAAAAAAGATTTTAAATACTTTTCAGTTTCTTTCCTTGTAACTACAAACAAAACTTGTTAATAGAGATAATGATACTTTAAGAGAAAGAAATATGAATTTTAATAGAATGGACCACAGGCTATTCAAAAAGCAAATTTCTTCCTGCAAACCATTGTGCATGTATTCTATAGATTCTTCCAGCCCCAACTGGGTTACCTTCTTCTCGTACTCACTAGTAATCCAGTCAGTGTGGTTCTAGTTAGAAAGCCATAAATCTGTAACATAATTAATTGCATATACTTCCAAGCTAGCAGTGAAAGGAGTAACATTGGCCAGGATTTTGATGTTTTGCCATATTCTAAAATCAACATGATGGTATACGACATTGCTGAAAACATTAATTTAGAGGGTGGCTGGAAATTGCTGAAAATATTGAACTCTAACTAGTGAACCCAAACATTCTCCTTTTTTTCTACTTCTAGATCAGAGAAGTTCAGGTAGTTAAAACTTCACTCTTAATCTAATTCTCTACTTCAAGTACATATGCGTAAAACCGTATTTCTTTGTTTAGCAAGCTGAACACTGCTTTTTATAATGTTAGTCTGTAAATCATAAGTGTGAGGCAATTGGATCACTGTGCTCTGTAAGGAGCATACTCCACAATAGCCAGTTTATTTTATCTGACTTTTATCTAGCCCTTGCTAGTACTGGATTCTGTTTGATGCATTTTGCATAAGCGTTCTATTTGGTCCATAATGGTTTGTGTAATGAACTGTTTGTTCTCTTCTAGATGACATCCAGTTGCTTAAAACCTGTAATGAGATGTCAGGTGAATTGCACTGATTGGCATTGATGGATGGACTTGTTGAAGTATTGCAGAGTTTCCTGTAGGGGCATAGAGGAAAATAGCCGTTTAGAGGTTTGGGTCTCCTAAGTATTGAAACTGTAATCACATAAACAGAACCACTTCTGCAGGTCTGAGGTGTCATCGTGCATTTTCTGGCTAATCTATCCATTCATCTCAATGGTCCAGAACTCGCGCTTCATGTCACTCTTTGCCTTTGTTCTGCACTTTGATCTTTCAGAATGTCTGTCAGAAGAAAAGTGTTTATATTGAATTATGTGTGGAAAGGGGTAGGCTGCATACTCCAGAATCTTGGCATGAAATTTGCCAAACAAACCTTGTCAGTTGCTCTGCAGCAATAATCGAAGTATGGATTTCAATTTAACGATATGTTGATGTAGACTTTTCCCCTTCAAAAATAACTTTACTGTGGATGTTTAGGTGCAGGAGATTTTATTTTGTTTTGTTTTTCCTGTAGAAAGTATGTGGCATCTTTATTGTTAATTGTTAAAATTAATGTTAAAAAGGAAGATGAATGAATTTTTCAAAATCAAATTTTTCCACTAAAATTTTGGTTAAATGAGTTAACTAACTTTATGCTCGGGCTGAGATAACGTTTTATGTGTATATTTTATGTCATTGATTCTAACATTTTATTATAAGATAGTCTATTTTGTTGTCTATTATGTCTGTTGTAATACATGTGTTAGAACACATAAGGAATTCCACAACAAAACCAAAAACAAACAAAAATAAGAACTAATTACATTGAAAAGTACTATACAGACACAATAACAGAGACAATGGGTGAATTATTAGTTGGTGCATTCTATCACAGCTATCCATTCTCTTTTCTCATATCTTTTTAATATGTATGAAATAAAAAATAGTCATGGAATCAAGGTTTTTTTTCTTTAAAGTTGTCTAAAATGATTAAGGACTCAGTTTCCATTGATAAGATGCTGTGGGCAAGAAAATATATAATGGTTCCATTTCTGAGGTTAACTTACCTTGCAATGGGCAAAAACAGACTTCAGAGATCTTTTGACATTGGTCATATGTCTTTCCTCAGTCTACTGGTTAAAGTTTTGGTGCTCTTAATTGCTATATCCTGAGCTACGTGAGGTAATGGCAGATCTTATGCTAAGTTAGGGACCCTTTGAATTAAAATTGAATGGTAACCTGCAATGACATGAATGATCTTTTTGAATAAATAACTTTCTTACTACAAATGAAGCATTCATGGAAGCCAAATGAGCTCAGCTAATCCAGTAAGGTAACATTCAACAAACTCTGATTTGGTCTTTGATGAGGCTCAAGTGTGAGTAGATCTGAAAGTTTCCCAGGTGATTCCAATGTACAAGCCAAGTTTAAAGCCACTGAGCTAGGGAGATTGAACACAATTACTGCCACGGTATGAATATGAAACTTGCCAGGCAGAATAAAATACATGGGAACCAATCTAGAGCACTAGCTGGTCTACCAAGAGCTTCTCAAACCTGCAAACCAGGACAGGCATGGCAGGAAGACGGCTGAACCACAGCAGGGAGCTGGTGAGACAAGGTAGTCTGTTTTCCAGGTCTGTATTTTCCCTTAGGTGAAGACCACATCAGATGTTAAATGAAGGCTATGACTCTTTAATGGCTTTGGCTTGCTTAGTATAGACACTTCTTCCCACCCCTAGTGTCATTCTTGAATCCTTTAAAGCATTTTGATAGAAGAGTAAGACGGCAGAGCTATTACTATTTTCTGCAAATTTTTAAGCTTGGGAACATCACAACAGTAGTCCCTAAGACTATAACCTAGGTCCAGACCTAGTCTAGTCTATAATCTACCAGAGTTGACAGAAAAAAGCTTTTTGACTAGCTGAACAGCTTCTGGCAGACTTGGTTGTGTTTGATGGCATTTGTGGTCATGTTGGTGATGCTATGGTAGTGACTAGCTGTTACAGACTGTAAAAAGGACAAGGCATTTGGTACAAACAGAGGTATTAACCATATAACAGAGTTCTCTATTCATAACAGTTGCTACTTTTAATAAACTGGGAATTGCATATTTACAGTCATTTGATACTTGTTCAAATTATAAATGACTTGGAATCAAAAGGCTTAGTTTTTTAGCTTCGTTTTGTAATTTTAATGATTGTTTTTGATATTCAGTATATTCTAATTTTTTAATTGTATCAGTAAATTAATACCTCTCATTGTTTTTACGAGTACTTAGGTTAAGTATGTAATTACAGAGTGCTTTTCATATTTTTAAAAATATTAGCTGTCAACCACAAAAAGAGTTAGAGTCATAAGTATAAGTCTACTATAAGTCTACTACTCTATATTTGTAGTAATTTCTAACTGAGCCCTAATAAGCAAGAAAAGGTGGTGTAGTAAGAAAAGGTGGGTGGGTATGTTTGTTCATTTGTTTCATTTCAAGTTATAATATATGTAAAGGTCATATGGTTTTAGAACAGTTTTAATGAGGACTTATGGTACATTTTATCTAAAAAAGGATAGCTTAACTATCCTTCATTTCTGCTTCTGTGATATAGGGCACAATAATAGTGCCTCCATAAATAGAAAAAAATGTAATTGTTGAGTCTTAGCAATGACAGTGAAAACTGTTTTGTTGAGCTCTGTGTCCAAGTAATTCAGAAATACTGATGAACTTTCTTTTTTGTTGGGATATTGAAGACGTTTTTTTACTTTAATGAGATTTCATAATAGGTTAGATGTTCCATGCCAGGAAATGAGGTGTAAATGCCACATTTGCAATGCTACTTCCCTTGAAATCCCAGTGAAACTAAAGAAGTTTTGAAGGGAACATGCCAAAACCTGAACTCTTGACGTAACTCTTCTTTACTAATCATTGACATTTTTTAGGTTGCCTCGATATTTTACTTGTTTTGGAAAAAAATATATATATATTTTTTCTGGCATTTAAGTCATGCTAACTTCTTAAGGGAAATAGTAGACTTATACCTGTGACTCCATTTTTTTTTGTGGTTGACATTTGATATTTTTAGAAATATGAAAAGCACTCTATAATTAGATATTTAATCTGAGTTCTAAAAATAATGGAGGAGATGTTAATTTATTGATACTGTAAAAATGTTGGAATATACTGAATATAAAAATTAAGTATTAAAATCACAACATGGAGTTAAAATGTACTAGTTCCCTCTCAAATATACTTCTTTTACATTGAAAAAATGTTTATTCACTAAACTATACTATGCATATATATCATAAAAATATAGTTTAACCATATCATATATACTAGATATATGTAGTGCATGTATAAATCTGATGTGTATGTGTGTATGTATATATACACAGATATATAGACATAGTTTAGAAGTTACATATATATGTAGTGTATATGTATGTGTAAGTGTGTGTATATATAGTTATGAATATATACACACACAAATACACATGCATTGTTGACTGGGATAGATGCTGATAAATACATGCTTAGATGATTTCCTCATTGTGTGAACATCTTAGAGAGTACTTACAATGTAAGCCTAGAGAGTATAGCCTACAGCACACCTAGGCTTATGGCATAGCCTACTGCTTCTAGGCTACAAACCTGTACAGCATGCTACTGTGTGGCATACTTCAGGCAATCATAAAAGAATGGTAAGCATTTGTGTATCTAGACATAAAAAAGGTAATGCGTTTGGCTAAAACATTAAAATGGCTATAAAGTTACTAGGTTATAGGAATTTTTTAGCTACATAATAATCTTATGGGACCACTGTTGTGTTGTATATGCGTTCAGTCATTCACTGAAACATTGTTATGCTAGGTGTCTTCAGACCTCTTAAAGTCTTTATATATACATGAAATATATAATGTCTGTATATTTAGATGCTCTGATTTTGGAAGCATAATATACAGTCATGTGCTACATAACAATGTTTGGGTCAATGACAGATGACATCTACAACAGCGGTCCCATAAGATTATAATGAAGTGGAAAAGTTCCTGTTGCCTGTTGACATCAAGCTCTCCTAATGTCAGCTTTAAAATAATGATTAATAGGCCAGGTGCTGTGGTTCATGCCTGTAATCCCAGCACTTTGGGAGGCTGAGGCGGGTGGATCAAAGGTCAAGAGATTGAGACCATCCTGGCCAACATGGTGAAACCCAGTCTCTACTAAAAATACAAAAATTACCCGGGCATGGTGGCTTGCGCCTGTAGTCCCAGCTACTTGGGAGGCGGAGGCAGGAGAATTGCTTGAACCCAGGAGGTGGAGGTTGCAGTGAGCCAAGATCACACCATTGCACTCCAGCCTGGGTGATGGAGCTAGATTCTGTCTCAAAACAATAACAACAAAAGGTAATTTATATAATGCACTTGGTATACAGTAGGCACTTACTAAGTTGTCTTTTCCTTTTCCCCTTAGCTAGACCACCACACAGGTGGTGCAGATGGTACCCTGCACATTAGCTCTTGGCTCTCATTTTTATTAAGCCTCATTTTTTAAAAAGATGAAATGAAATAATGTTGGTGAAGAAATAATTATAAAATGAATGCATTGTACAATTTCCAGTGTAATAGTTTTTATATGCAGAATAGACAAGATTATAAAAACATGAGTATTGACATTGTGTGTTATCATTTAGTTAGGTGGGTGGTTTCAAAGAAGGAGCCAAGAGGACAGTTTGGTAATGAGGAGGAGGTGTAAGAAATATGTCCCTGGAGGGAGTAAGAGCTACGTGGAAGGCCACCGTGAAAGGCAATGATTAGAGTGTGACATTGATGTTTCTTGGGCCATGAAAGAAGAGAAGTGGCTACTCTGCTCAATTTAAAAATTTATCAAAATAAATGCAATCCAGAAGTAGAAATTATTTCTCTTCTAAATAAGATTTAAAATGTATACATTTGTAATAGTTCTATTCCAAATACATAAATATTATTTTAAAATGACTAAACTTGCCCTGTTGCCATAATTTTGATTTCATAGAATAAGTATGTACTTCCTTATGCTTCATATGCAGAACACTTTGATTTATCAGCTTTGATATATTAGGATTTCTGGCACTCTAATTTGATGCATATTTCCATTTTAATGTTAAATTACTGAATTAATTATTGTATATTTCTGTTGCTTTGGGTGCCTGGCAGTCACGAAATAATTCTTACACCATATTGATGCAGACTTCTAGTTAATAACCATAAAACTAACATGATCCTCCCTTCCTTTTGCTTAAATTGAGAAAGAGCTATTGGAGATGCTGAAGCTAAAGTGCAGTTAATAATAACCTGGAAACTATGGATCAAGACTGTGTATCTCCAGCCTAGAACTTCTACTCTACAGTCACTTTAATTCATCAATAATCCTATGCTTATTCATTTTTAAAAACCATCAGTGTCTTCATCAGCTTAGGTTGCTATAATAGGCTGCTGGGTGCTATACCACCCAGTTTATGGTGTTTTATTTTAACAGCCTAACTTAAGTGCTGTACCACCAAGTTTATGGTATTTTATTATAGCAGCCTTAGTTGATGAAGACATTAATGGTTTTTTTAAGGGAACAAGCATATGATTATTGATGAATTAAAGAGATTGTAAAGTAGAAGTTCTTGGCTAGAGATACAGTGTTGATGGTGTTGATATAGCTCCAGTTTCTGTTCTTATAGCAACAGAAATTGATTTCTCACAGTTATGGAGGCTGGAAGTCCAAGATCAGGGTGCCAGCATGGTTGAGTTCCGGTGGGAGCCTGTTTCCTGATTTATAGATGGTTACCTTTTCACATGGTGGATGGGCGAGCGAACTCTCAGGTGTCTCTTTTTTATGGGCACCAATCCTATTCATAAGGGCGAGCCATGGATGATTAGGTCGGACCCAATCACCTACCAAAGGCATCACCTTCTAATACCATCACATTGGAGATTAGGATTTTAACATACTCGGTGTATAGCGTTTGGTTTTTTAGAGATTTCCTTTAAAAATGAGCATAAGTTGGCCAGGCATGGTGGCTCACACCTATAATCCCAGCACTTTGGGAGGCCGAGGCAGGCGGATCACAAGGTCAGGAGATCGAGATCATCCTGGCTAACATGGTGAAACCCCGTCTCTACCAAAAAGACAAAAAATTAGCCAGGCCGGGGGTGGTGGCACAGTCTGTATTCCCAGCTACTTGGGAGGCTGAGGCAGGAGAATCACTTGAACCCAGGAGGTAGAGGTTGCAGTGAGCTGAGATCATACCACTACACTCCAGCAGCCCGGATGACACGGAGAGACTCCATCTCAAAAAAAAAAAAAAAAAAATTAGCATAAGTTTTATGTAATAAATTGATATTTTTCTAGTCTGTAGTATTTATTAACTACATTAACTACTTGTTTAGGAAGATTTCTTCTTTTTTTTTTCCTTTAAGAATGAAAAGTAAAGTCATTATATATGTGCGTGACACTTGATTTGTTGAAACTAAAATAAAGACAATAATTTCAACGTAGGTTTTAACATCTTCTAACCAAAGTGAATGTGGCAAATGTGTTTAATATGATTTGAAATTTAAATATCAGCCTCCAGAGTTCAGGCGTACTTTATTCTTTTGGTAAATCAGGTGTACTATGGATTTATATTGAGCGGCTGTTCTGATTTATTGCTCCTGTGTTTTGTCTTCCAAAGATAATAATGTAATAATGATTCATTAAGAATATCATTACATTTAAGCATTAAAAAATCTGCAGTTATCCATACAAAGGTAAGAATATTGTTTTTATTATTTTCCTTTTTTTCTCCAGATTTAAAATAGACATTTGGTCCTATAGATAGCGTAGGGAACAAGAAAGTGGTTTAATTTTTACATCTTGAGAAATACTTAACTTTCATTCCAGAAGTTCTAAAGGAGGTCTCAAATTCCCCAGTTGGTGCAACAAAATGAGTAAACCTAGAAACTTGGAAATAGATGGTGCTTTAAATAATTATTAGGCAAAATTAAATGCTCAAAGGGTTTTGAGGCAGCAAAAACAAGAGTCATAATAACTAAATTAGATGCTGTTTTCCGGTGACCCCATACTGATAGCACTGACTGAATAATTATGTGCAGACTTAGGAAAATATAAAAGGTTTGAGTAATCAGCAGGTGACAAGGCAAAGGAGTTTCAATTGTACAAATGTCAAAGCAATTAGAAATTTTCTTTCAGTACAAACAAATACCACAGTTAAATTTCTGAGAGAGTAAATAATTTATTTTGTATTTATTTATTTGCATATGTATTATATTAAAAACTTTAAATACATTATATATAAAAAACTTTATTTTTATGTTTATGTATATACTTAGAAACTACATTTATTTTGTTTTACTACACTGCTGATCATATTACAGTATAGCTGCTTTTTCATAATAATTTCAGATAAAAGTATCTGAGAATGGATTAAATTCACATTAAGAAAAATTAGGAGAGAAAGGAACCTAACCACGGAAAGTCAAATTTTAGTAATCTGACTTTTATGTGGATGTTTACTAGAGCAAAGTGAAATTATATATACATATATGTACATAAATATATGCATAGGCACCTAACTGTACATATATATTTATGCACGTATTTATATGCATATAAATATGTTTATGTATTTGCATAGTCTATTTTGGAGTAAACATATGCATTTTATAAATGCATAGCCAATACCAAAACAAAAGAAAATGCCTCATTTCAATCTCTCTGCATAATAGAAGCAATAAAGCAAATAGCAAAGGGAGCTTGTTTTTATTTAAATGACATCTGTATTGTTTTTAGTAGAACTAAATGTAGAAAGCCTTCCCTTAATTCAATTTTATCTAATGTTGTAATTGGTTATTTGATCTATGGGCACATCAGTTTTACTTAGATACCCACCAAAATAAAACCAAAGCTTTCTTTTTGAAAGATTTATATCTAAAAAGTCATTATTCTTACTACACATGAGGATCTATGTTTGTAGTTGAGATGCAGCTATTGAAATTTATAACTTTACAACTCATAAATAACTTCTCTCTTTTGCAATACTTTTGAAAATCTAACACTCACAAGTCTGGTTCTGTGAATAATAGAATATGCACTTAAGAGAATGAATACGTTTTTTTTAGTATGACTTCAGGTTATATTGATTATTAGATAATTATAGATAAAAATCATAACCACATTATCCAACATTAGTGGTCACTGTTTAGTTTCTAGAAGTTCTGTCAGTAGAGAAAACAATTAAGTTTGCCAGTGTAGCAAATAGGTGTCAAATTCATGTAAACTAGACAAACAACAGCTTTGTCTTGCGATGAGAAATCTGTTTGAATTGTGAATATCTTTTTTTTCTTCAGGGAAATCAATACTAGTTTTCCTTTTTTTTTTTTTTTTTTTGAGACAGAGTTTCATTCTTGTTACCCCGGCTGGAGTGAAAAAGCGTG